GTCAATTTTTTCTAAATTCTCCAAATATTGTTTTTTCTCTACCCATCTTGTCTTATTTTCTGCTGTTGGGTGATTTTGAAATTGTTGGAGGAAGTTCTCTACCTCACCTCTAGTTTTTTCAAGAGTGGATTTTTCTTTCTTATTAATCCCAATTTCTTTAGTGATACATGTACCCCTAATAGTAGCTTTAAAAGCATCCCATATTAACTCTTCTTTTAATTCTGGTTGTCTGTTTATTAAAAAAAATTCTTTTATCTGATTTTTAATATCTTGTTTGTCCTTTTCTTTGAAAGTTACCTTTGGATTAAATCTCCATTTCTTTGTGAGTCTCCTTACAGATTCTCCCAATTTAAGCGAAATCGGAGCATGATCTCCTGGCCATTGTTTCCCTACTTTTATCTCTTTAATTTCTCTAGAGTTATTAATTCCAACTATGAAGTAGTCTATAGTTGTGAATTTAGAGTGTCTGTGTGAATAGAAAGTTGGTGCCATACTCTCTTCACCTATTCTGTTATGGGCCTCGATTAGATTCCATTTTTTAAAATTGACTTTACATTCTAACTTTGGGGGACTAACCCCTAAGCTTCTTCTATTCATGTATAACTCCGTATTTAAATCTCCCCCAATGACTACTTCGCCCTTTGCATGTTTTTCAATTTTGGCAAATGTTTTATTTATGAAACTTATTTGTTTTTTGTTTGGCGCATATACACTTGCAATAGAGATATCACTATTGTTTAATTTTCCCATTATCATTATAAATCTCCCTTCCTTATCTGATATCCTTTTATCTAGTACAAAACTGTTAGTATTCTTTATTATGATTGCTACTCCTCTGGATTTATTTGATCCTCTTGATTCAAATTGTAAGTCCCAATTCTTTAAGTTTAACAATTTTTCCTTATCTTTTTTCTTATGAGTCTCCTGGATTAAGCATATATCAGCATGCTGTTCAGTTAACATTCTAGCCAGTTTATATTTTTTCACCGGAGAAGATAGGCCATTTATGTTGACCGACAAAAATTTAATTTCCTCCATCATAGATCAGTTGTTTACCTTCACAACTTTCTGTCGCAGGCCCTCCTATTATATTATCCCATATCCCTACAGAACCCAGATCCCTACCCCAAAACAACCCCTCCTCTGGAACCCATGACCCCCTCCTCCTTGAGGAGGTTGCTAGGAAAAGAATCCTTGCACCCATCCAGAGAATAACGATGGACAGAGGCCCCTGCATCCGCTCCTCCTATACGTCAGATAACAATCTCATATTACTCACCCTTCCTGGCTTAATTTTCTTTTTTTAAAATAATAATAATAATAATAATAATAATCCCTATCAATTAATCCCTGATCCTTAACCCAATCTACATCCCTATTATTAATTCCAGACCATCCCACCTTCTCCTTTTTCATGTATAGTTAGCAAACATTATCCCACTTTTTAATTTAAATTATGTAAGCAATTAGACCAAAGAAAAAAAAAGAAAAAAAATATTCCTATCTTTGCTGGTTGTAAATCTTTACAGAATATGTTTGCCAGTACCAATAAGCATTTCTTTAAACCCAGCTATAGAGACAATCTATTATGTATAATTATCTGTAATTTCTTCTGTTAGGGATTCTATAGGTCTTTGATCGAAGTTTCCCATGTCTTTTCCTTGTGGTTTCTTCTTTAGTTGGATGATCTTCTCTTGGTTGCTCTTCCTCTGTTTCAGACACATTTTCTTCATCTATTGGGACGCCTGTTTCTCTTGACGATTTCCTCTGGGGAGGTTGAGTCAGGTTTAAGTTTTTCAGAAGCCTTTCCCCTTCTTCTATAGACTTTGCAGTATGCTTTTTTCCCTCTCTGAAAATGATTAGTGTTGCTGGAAAGGCCCATGTGTATTTGATGTCTGCTGATCTGAGTCTATCCGTTATAGGCTTGAGGGAGGCTCTCTCCTCCCTTGTAGCTCTTGCTAAGTCCTGGAAAACTGTGATTTTATTACTATTAAACTGCAGATCATTCACGCTCCTCAAGGCTTTGAAAACCTGTAAGCATGTTGATGCTTTAACAAATGTCACTGTTACCACTCTTGGTGTGGGACCTTTGTGATTCTTTCCCCCCCTCTTTTGAGGATAAAGTCTGTATGCTCTATCTATATCTTCTTCTCCAGCTGGTATGTCCCATTGGTTCCACCACTCACACAGAGAGTTAATCAAGTCTTTGTCTTTTACATATTCAGGGATTCCTTGTAAACAAAAATTTCTGCGTTTGGAATGGTTTTCTAGATCCACCACCCTTGATTTCCAATAATTAACTTCCAATTCTAGTGACTGGATCCTAGCTTGATTTTTTTCCTCCTTAGATACTATTTGGCTCATCCTTTCTCTTGTCTCTCTAACTTCGAGAGATAAATGCTCCATTGAGCTTTTGAGCCCTTTAATCATTTCCACCAGAAGGTCAAGCTTTTCTCCTGTGTTAACTGTGGAAATTGGAGCTTCAGAGGCTTCTGAGGCCATCTCTAGATGATTTATATTCCAGTGGATAAAACAGTAAAACAGTTAACGAGCGGCACTCCCACCTCTGCTCAGCTGTTTGTTTCTGTTTTTCTTTTATCCAAACGCTCTGCTGCTGTAGTTCAACAAAATGGCACCACACGCTGCCTCAACAGGAAACTGGAGATATCTAATCAGTCTTTAGCTGTTTCCCAGGCTTTTCTTTTTCTTTAATTAGTAGGAAGATGTTGCGTTTTGTTTCTTGACATATTAACTAATCTTTAAGTCTTTTCCCAATTGGATTAATCCTCCGGGTGAGTTATTTTAACTTACTTTGACGGAGGAGCTTTCAGCAGACTGCTCAGCAAACTTGCATGCTCCGCCCACTCTGCTCCGGTTCCCTTGTTTGTGAACTAAGTGTCTATGTGTTCCTAAGTTGTAAACAGTTAGTCTCTGCGGGCATGTTACAATCCCCAGAAGCCTGGTCTGCTACATCTGACATGCAGCAGAATCCAAGAAAGCTTTTGCTCTGTATACTTTGATAGAACGCACACATATTTGATAGAAACCATGACCTTCTGTATCAGATCCCAGCCAACTTGCTTTCCCATTTTTGCAGACACTGTGGCACAATGAAGGCAAATGCCTTTGAGAACGCAGAAATGCTGGACCACTCTCACAACCACCATGTCAGACTACACAGAGAAGCCATTGAAATCCACAAGCATGTGGATAATTTAAACAGAAAGGAAGAAATCATAAAAATGAACAAAATCTGGCTAGCAGCATTAAAAATACTCTAAAATCATAACAGTAAATAAAGACAAAGGAGCTACAGACAAGAAACAATCAGGGACAGCTAATCACCTCTCAACAAAAGATTCCCCCAAGCAGTAAGAAGCCAGATCTTGAAACTGCTAGGCCATTAAATGCTAATCAAAGTGGCCAATTGAAACATTTACACCTATCTCAAACAGACAAGAGTTCTTTCTCCCACCCTGGACATTCCACAGATATATAAACCCCACTTTCCTAGCTTCCAATAGACCTCACAACCTCTGAGGATGCCTGCCATAGATGCAGGGAAAACATCAGGAGAGAATGCTTCTGGAACATGGGCAAACAGCCTGAAAAACTTACAACAACCTACCATTGCTTTCAATTTAGCCAAACTTTGTATCATGCACAAAATTATGTAAAATACTAGCCGTCCCCTGCCACTCGTTGCTGTGGCCCACATGGGGGTTCGGTGTGGGAGGTTTGGCCCAATTCTATCAGTGGTGGGGTTCAGAATGCTCTATGATTGTAGGTGAACTATAAATCCCAGCAACTACAACTCCCAAGATTCTATTTTCCCCAAACTCCACCAGTGTTCACATTTGGGCATATTGAGTATTTGTGTAGAGTTTGGTCCAAATCCATCATTGTTTGAGTCCACAGTGCTCTCTGGATGTAGGTGAACTACAACTCCAAAACCAAAGGACACTGCCCACCAAACCCTTCCAGTATTTTCTGTTGGTCATGGAAGAACTGTGTGCCAAGTATGGTTCAATTCCATCATTGGTGGGGTTCAGAATGCTCTTTGATTGTAGGTGAACTATAAATCCCAGCAACTACAACTCCCAAATGACAAAATCAATTTTTTTTGAGTGAAGGACATACATTGGGTTGTTAGGTGTATTGTGTCCCAATTTGGTGTCAATTCATCCAGTGGTTTCTGTGTTCTGTTAATCTCACAAATGAACATTACATTTTTATGTATATAGATTGTGTATAACGTCACCATTAGGCTATGTGCGTATTATGAATATGCAACATAGAAGAATGTTGTGTTTGGACTTGGGTGGCATCTCCAAGATATCACATGGTACATATACATCGTGCTGCTTTCATTCTCTTTTGTGGAGAGAAAATATGGAGTATAAATGAAATAATAATAATAATAATAATAATAATAATAATAATAATACGAAGAAGAAGGAGAAGGAGAAGAAAATATTCTAAAAATACAAAATATTTCTGGCCCTAAGCATTTTGGATAAGGCCTGCTCAACTTGCACAGTCTTCCTGCATTACTTCTGTGGAACCTTTTGATTCGCCCTTGTTCAATGGCAATGGAGTTGAATTTGTAGCCTATATCCTAGGATCTCAAGCGTTTCCTTCAAACACAGACGCAGCCTGTTATCTGTTGTCAGATAGCAATGCAAGAACTACCAGAGAACGGATGTTTTGTATTATCAGAAAAAGAAATCGCAGCACGCTTTTGTTGATATGTCGGGGAAACCTGGTTCTTTGAGCCTCCTGCATCCCCACTTCGTTCCTCAGTGTTTTGTACTGCTGACTATCTTATTCCTTTTGTCACGGCCAGTAAAATATATGTGCCATTTTCCTTGCTGCAGAAAATCCACTGAGGTACAAAACACGGAATAGCTGCAAAGGGCTTTTGATGTTTACTGCTGCAATCCCTCCAGCTAGAAACACCACCAGTTTATTAGTTTCCATTCCTCGTCAGGTATTCTTACCTTGTCGTCGTCATCTTCGTCTTCATCTAAAATGATGCAATCCTTGGGAAATAAGAAGAAGACAGGATATCAGTTCTCTCCAGAAAGCTTAGGAAAACTATGAAGCAGTGCTATTTATTTAGACATTTCTTTGTGGATTATTATAGGTGTTTTGAGACTTGGAACGCGATGGAGTGGTTTGAATTCTGGAGTATGACATCAGTCTTGTCAAGAAAGGCCTATGATAGGATTGCCTTATGGTTGCAATAAGTTGGAAACTACATGGACTTCCAGGTCCACCAGTGTTCCCTTTGGTTGGTACATAAGGACTCCTTGAGGAGCCTCTGCCATCAACATTTGTACCATCTATGCTAGAAGAAAAAGGCTGTTAAACTCAAAAGAGCACTGGGTTTGTGACAATTCAGTGACTTAGGAGCAGAGGGCTAGGCACTTTCCTTGGGTATGCATTGAAGAAGAGGTGTTTTTATGTATGAGGGTTGAATAAAAGGTAATGCCTCCACCTTCATAACTCCTCAACAGATAGAAGTACCGGTATGTGGCAGGTACTGGCTTGTTCAGTAGACTCTCCTCTACAGTTCCATTTTTGCAGGAAGCCTCAGCATTGAATGGTTGTGTTGTTAAAGTGTGAAATATGGAACCCTGCACAGATGGTCGGTCAATGCGACTTAAGCAATGTGCAGTCACTGAATTCTTGACAGCAGAAGGTGTCACCTCAACATCTTTAAACTTACTCACCCAACGACGCACAGTATTCACACCAATGCTGACGGCAGCAGTAAGGGCTGAGCTAGGAATACTCCCAGTAAAAGCTCAAATCTTAATGAGACAGTTTAATTACTGGTCAAAAGTAAACTCTATGGATCCCAGTAGACTTCCTCGCCTATGTCTAGAGGATCAAGTCCAGCATGACCAGAAGGCATCATGGATGGCGGCTCTGAATAATGAGTTGGCTGGATTCGGTCTGCCTTTGCAATTTCTGGGTGTTTTGGGTCCGGGGGCAGGGCAAGTGCTCAAGCGGCGCATTCAGGATGTCTATGCACAGCTGGACCTAGAGAACATAGGTAGGTCTTCAGCCACAAAGTTTTTAGCTTCCCACAAAAGGAATATTCATTTAGAGCACTACCTAACTATTCCACTTCCACTACGGTTAAGAAGAATATATACTAGGGCTAGGTTTGAACAACTCGGTATTATGGAGCAAACCGGGCGCTACTGTAACATCCCAAGAAGTGAGAGATTCTGCGTCTGGGGAGAACAAACAGTGGAAGACATTGAACATTTCTTAATTGACTGTCCAGCATATACTGAACTGCGAGACAGATATTTACATCCAGTATTATCCAACTGCAGGTCCCCCAACAGAAATGATATCCTGACATCCCTCTTGCAAGGACAGGAAAGATCCAGCATAATCAGAGTAAGCCTTTTTATTCTGAAAGCTATCAAGAAAAGAGCAGATTTCCTGAAAGAAGAACCAGGAAAATAAGATTCTGACTATAAATAGAGGGTCAGCTGCTGTCCTCACCTTTTTGCCTTGTTTTTTACTCATGTTCTATTTTGAAATGATCAAATAAATAAATATTATCATTATTCGCATCAGTACAATCACCATAAACAGCTTGCATTCTCTGATGAATCTCCTTTGGGGTGACACCTTCTGCAGTCAAGAATTCAATGACTGCACATTGCTTAAGTCGCATTGACCAACTGTCTGCGCAGGGTTCCATATTTCACACTTTAACAACACAACTGTTCAATGACTAAATTACCTTTCCAAAATTAGGGTGTGCATTAGAGTCACATAATATGGTAAATACTTTTTGGGTTTTAGGGTTTTGAAAATTGAGGTGTGTATTAGATTTTATGGCGAAGTAAGGTGAAGGTAAAGGTGACAGGAAGTCCAGTCGTGTCCGACTCTAAGGGGTGGTGCTCATCTCCATTTCTAACCTGAAGAGCCTGCATTGTCCGTAGACACCTCCAAGGTCATGTGGCCAGCATGACTGCATGGAGCATCATTACCTTCCCGCCAGAGCAGTACCTACTGATATATTCACATTTGCATGTTTTCAAACTGCTAGTTTGGCAGAAGCTGGGGCTAACAGTAGGAGCTCACACCGCTCCCCAGGTTCGAACCGGCGACCTTTTGGTCAGCAATATCAGTAGTTCAGCAGTTTAACCCACTACAGTAAAAGGTAAAGGTAGTCCCCTGACATTAAGTCCAGTCATGTCTGACTCTGGGGTGTGGTGCTCATCTCCATTTCTAAGCCGAAGAGCCAACATTGTCCATAGACACCTCCAAGGTCATGTGGCCAGCATGACTGCATGGAGCGTCGTTACCTTCCCGCCGGAGCGGTACCTATTGATCTACTCACATTTGCATGTTTTTGAACTGCTAGGTTGGCAGAAGCTAGGGCTGACAGCGGAAGCTCACGCCGCTCCCCGGAATTGAACCTGCGACCTTTCGATCAACAAGCTCAGCAGCTCAGTGCTTTAACCCACTGCGCCACCGGGGGCTCCTATCAAATCGAAGATAAGATGCTTGCATAACTATAATTCCAACTTTCATAAACAAGAACAATACAGAAGCTTTTAAAATCAATTTCTCAAGGACTTGAGCGTCTGTGGATTGTCTTTCTACCATTCCTTTCCCCCTTTTTTGCAAGATCCGAAAACATCGCTACCAAACGACCCTCACTGAACACATTTTTTTTCTTAACGCTGAAGCAAAGCAGATGCGACCCAACCGTTCCAAATGCAAAAGAAGGGCTGGGACTTTATTGCATGTTATTCTAATTCCCTTGCCAAGTTTCACTTCCAGTAAGCAGCTTTGTTCTCCCTCTGACAAATGAACCAGTTGGAATGTCAAGGCTGAGATTTCTCCACTCAGCTTGTTCTCCTCTCGGCACTGGTTCCAATGATTGTTCTCTCCCTTTAGGGCCATTACCAAAACATTAGGGGGCAGAAAATACATTAGCACACACATAATCAATCTTAAGAATCAGATATAAAATTTTATACAGCATTATCACTCCACTTGCTAAAAAGGTAATGGGGGTTAGGGGCGAAAAAATGCAGAGGCAACTTGGATTTCAAAGCTGTTTCGCTGCCAGAGATATATAAAAAGACCTTTTGGGTTAGCTGGAGTGTTTGTTGTTGAATAGTCCATTTAAAAATGGAAAACAACAGTTAAACGCAGTAAAAAAAGGGAGTAGATGCACAAAGAGAGAATTAAAAACATGCACACCAAAATCTCACAATATTAAGATGCTGGCGGCACATGCTGTGGACAGTTGGCCTTCTAGATCTGTGGGTTCTGCATCCATAGATTCGATCATCCAGTTCAAGTTAGTTGCATTGATCTTGAAAATATTTTTCAAAATCTAAAAAGCAAGCCTGATTCTGTCACATTATATAAGTGACAGCATTTCGTTACACCACTGTTTATAATGGGGCCTGAGCATCTGTGGATTTTGAGATCTCCGGAGGGTCCTGGAACCAAACCCCAGCTGATACCAAGGTGCTGGAAGAAGCAAAGACAACCAGCATTGAAGCGATGGTCCTCCGCCATCAACTCCACTGGACTAGCCATGTTGTCCGAATGCCCGACCACCATCTCCCAAAGCAGTTGCTCTACTCCGAACTCAAGAACGGAAAACGGAATATTGGAGGACAGGAAAAGAGATTTAAAGATGGGCTCAAAGCCAACCTTAAAATCTCTGGCATAGACACTGAGAAATGGGAAGCCCTGGCCCTTGAGTGCTCCAGCTGGAGGTCAGCTGTGACCAGCAGTGCTGCAGAATTTGAAGAGGCACAAATGGAGGGCGAAAGAGAGAAACGTGCCAAGAGAAAGGCATGTCAAGCCAACCTCGACTGGGACCATCTTCCACCTGGAAACCAATGCCCTCACTGTGGGAGAAGATGTAGATCAAGAATAGGGCTCCATAGTCACCTACGGACCCACCCTGGAGGATTATCCTACTTGGACAACAAGGGATCGCCTAAGTATGTAAGTAAGATACCAAGGTCCTATTTTATTGGAAACGTATCCATGTTGTGTAGCTTAAGAGATTTTTGAGATGTCTGGAGAGTCCTGGAACCAAACCCCAGCTGACACCAAGGTGCTGGAAGAAGCAAAGCCCACCAGCATTGAAGCAATGGTCCTCCGCCACCAACTTTGCTGGAGAACTGGGAAGCCCTGGCCCGTGAGCACTCCAGCTGGAAGTCAGTTGTGACCAGCAATGCTGCAGAATTTGAAGAGGCACGAGTGGAGGGCAAAAGAGAGAAATGTGCCAAGGGGAAGGCGCATCAAGCCAACCCCGACCTGGGCTACCTTCTACCTGGAAACCAATGCCCTCACTGCGGGAGAAGATGCAGATCAAGAATAGGGCTCCATAGTCACCTACGGACCCACCCTGGAGAATTATCCTACTCGGACAACGCCTAAGTAAGTTAGATACCAAGGTCCTATTTTATTGGAAACGTATCCATGTTGTGTAGCTTAAGAGGTTCCCATAAAATATCTCTTTTGGGGCTTAACTTTGTTGGGCCCTGGTGTAGGAGAGACCCTAGGGCATGAATATTTGACATCCAGCTTTGCTGTCTACTCAGCCCTGGGCTTATCCACAAGGACACGAGGAAGAACTTCCTGAGTGTGAGAGCCATTCAGCAGTGGAACTCTCTGCCCCTGAGTGTGGTGGAGGCTCCTTCTTTGGAAGCTTTTAAACAGAGGCTGGATGGCCATCTGTCAGGGGTGATTTGAATGCAATATTCCTGCTTCTTGGCAGGGGGTTGGACTGGATGACCCATGAGGTCTCTTCCAACTCTTTGATTCTATGATTCTATGACACCACGTGGCTAGAGGCTGTGTCCCATTACATCTATCACCGCTGGTGTGAGACTGTCTCAGCTATACCGGGATCTTTACCATCACCCCTGCGCTACCTTCGATCCCTCCAGTGTCACCAGTGCACGGTCCTTCTGGGGCTAAGCCGGCCGGGCTGCCCTGGAGGACTCTTTCCATCTGGCCTTAGATATCATCCCAGAGTTCTTTTGACTATTGTCCATTCAAGTTTTAATTGGGTTTAATCATTGTGGCCTGGGTGGCAAATTCCATTCTAAACTGGACATTGAGTGTTGGTATCAGATACTTTACTTCATGATCGAAACCTCAGCATTCCTGCACTTTAAGATCTGGTATTTTAAGATACTCCACTTAGGCAGAAAAAATGAAATGCAAAGATACAGAATGAGGGACGCGTGGCTCAATAGCCCTACTTGTGAAAAAGATCTTGGACTCCTCGTGGACAAGTTAAACATGAGCCAACAATGTGATGCTGCAGCTAAAAAAACCAATGGGATTTTGGTCTGCATAAATATGAGTATTTATTTATTTAAAACATTTATATTCCGCCCTTCCCACCCTACAGGGGACTCAAAGTGGAGCACAGCATATATACGGCAAACATTCAATGCTGGGACATAAAACCATAAATATATACAAACATTAAAATCACTTAAGGTAAAGGTAGTCCCCTGACATTAAGTCCAGTCATGTCTGACTCTGGGGTGTGGTGCTCATCTCCATTTCTAAGCCGAAGAGCCAGCGTTGTCCGTAGACACCTCCAAGGTCATGTGGCCAGCATGACTGCATGGAGCGCCGTTACCTTCCCGCCAGAGCGGTACTTATTGATCTACTCACATTTGCATGTTTTCGAACTGCTAGGTTGGCAGAAGCTAGGGCTGACAGTGGAAGCTCACGCCGCTCCCCGGAATCGAACCTGCGACCTTTCGATCAACAAGCTCAGCAGCTCAGTGCTTTAACCCACTGCACCACTTATATCCACATTAAAAGTTGCTTAAAAAGCATCTCAGGATGCCATTTTGTCGAATTGCACTGCCCCAAAGGCTTAGTTCCACAGTCAGGTCTTCACCATCCTTCTGAAGGACAGGAGGCAGGGAGCTGATCTAACATTGCCAGGAAGGGAGTTTCATAACCGGGGGGCAATCACCGAAAAGGCCCTGTCTCTCGTCCCCGCCAAACTCGCCTGTGATGGTGGCGGGACTGAGAGCAGGGCCTCCCCAGAAGATCTTAGTTTCCGCAGTATAGTATCGTGCCTAGATCCAGGGAAGTCATGCTACCCATGCTCTATTCTGCCTTGGTTAGACCACACCTGGAATACTGTGTCCAATTCTGGGCACCACAATTGAAGAGAGATGTTGACAAGCTGAAATGTGTCCAGAGGAGGGCGATTAAAATGATCAAGGGTCTGGAGAACAATCCCTATGAGGAGCAGCTTAAAGAGCTGGGCATGTTTAACCTGCAGAACAGAAAACTGAGAGGAGAAACGATAGCCATGTATAAATATGTGAAGGGGAAGTCATAGGGAGGAGGGAGCAAGCTTGTTTTCTGCTGCCCTGGAGACTAGGATGCAATGGAATAATGGCTTCAAACTACAGGAAAGGAGATTCCACCTGAATATTAGGAAGAACTTCCTGACTTCGAGAGCTGTTCAGCGGTGGAACTCTCTACTCCGAAGTGTGGTGGAGGCTCCTTCTATGGAGGCTTTTGTATATATGTCCAGAAGAGGACATCTTGGAGATGTCACCAGATTTGTTTATGTTTCATAAACACCTTGTATACATTGCACAAAGGCAGTTTTATATGCCTTATTTGTAATACTTTTTATATGTAACACAAAGTGTATTGTATGTTGAACCACCAGAAAGCAAAGGCATTACTCTCAAAGCATTTCTGATTTTGGAATTCCAAATACAGGATGCCCAACTGGTACGTCACATTAGATAAGGCATAAATGGCCACCATAACTACTAGCTATTGGGGGTCTTCTACATAAGTTTTGTTGAATTGCTTTTTCAAACCTATCAATATTAGTGACCTTCACTTGGGATAGTCAATATAATAAGGTTGGAGTACATTCAGAATGAAAGAAAAATGCTCTCTGTGACATGTACAGTAAAATCAGAACATCCATCAACTGGTTAGCGATGGCACAGAAAATGGTTTAGATTTTAGCAGGACACTGATGTCTCACTTGAGAATAAGTGATGGAGTGGGATTGCTGTTGGCTCTGCCTTTTCATCCTTCATCAGATTTGCTCGGCTTCGTAATAGTTTGGGTTTTCTTTTTTTAAGAGGGGGAAATGATCCCCTTCTGCAGTTAATGCCCCAAGTGTCCCAAATTTCATCAAGTGGCAAAACTTCCCATTTTCGAGATGTAATAAAGGACATGTGAAATGTCCAAAAGGTTCTCTCTTTAGGGTTTGGGACTTGGCACAGATTACTTGGCACCTTACCATTTGTCATGAGAGTGTGCGGCAAAAAAAGGGGGGTGTTAGTTAATGGAAAATCCATTTTACCCCAATCTGAAAGTAGTTTCTCAGGGTAGGAGAAGGGATGAGATGAAAAGAAGCAACAAAAGAAACCAGAAGATAGATCAATAATTAGATAGATAGATAGATAGATAGATAGATAGATAGATAGACAGAAAGAAAAATATTCATAATAATAGTAATAATAATAATAATAATAATAATAATAATAATAATAATTTTTGTCGTGTCAGGAGTGACTTGAGAAACTGCAAGTCGCTTCTGGTGTGAGAGAATTGGCCATCTGCAAGGACGTTGCCCAGGTGACGCCCAGATGTTTTGATGTGTTACCATCCTTGTGAGTTGCTTCTCTCATGTCCCTGCATGAGGAGCTGGAGCTGATAGAGGGAGCTCATCCACCCTCTCCCCAGATTCGAACCTGTGACCTGTCGGTCTTCAGTCCTGCTGACACAGGGGTTTAACCCACTGCACCACCAGGGGCTCCTAATAATAATAATAATAATAATAATAATAATTTTATTTTTTACTTGCCTCTCCTCACGCTTTAGGCCAGATTACAATATGACTAAAACATATAGAAAGAGATAGATAGATAGATAGATAGATAGATAGATAGATAGATAGATAGATAGATAGTAGGCCTTGGTAACAACGGAAAAATTTGTTTCTAAAATCGATTCGTTTTTTGGGGTTTTTTTGCATTTCGTTATTTAAAATAATTACAAAATTTTCCTTTAAAAAAGTTCGATATTTACGAAATTTCGTAAATGGTAAAAAAATTACAAAACAATAACGAAACAATAACGAATCGATTCGTTAATGGCGGCCGCAATCGCGCAATACGCTAAAAAAACTTCTGAAGCTTCCCTCTCCCTCTGTTGTTGACTGTTGGTGTGATATTATAATTTTTTTCACTAATTAAACAAAAAACAACTATAAAACTTGCCCCAGACATGCGGAAATAATAACGAAACGACCTCAAACCAATAACGAAACGAATACATAACGAAATACGAAGCATTAACAAAACGAATTGAAAAACTCGTTTCATTTTTAAGTTACTTCAGAATGGTTCATTATCGCTTCGTTAACAAAAAATTAACGAATTTTTAACGAATTACAAATTAACGAAATGAAACCACCCAGCCCTAATAGATAGATAGATAGATGATAAAGATAGAAATTAGTTAGATATGATTGATTGATCAAGAAGAACTTCCTGAGTGTGAGAGCTGTTCAACAGTGGAACTCTCTCTTTTAGTGGCCCTCCTCTGGACCCTTCTAGCTTAGAATCAACATCTCTTTTGAACTGGGCACACTGTGATTCCAGGTAAAGAGGTCTAACCAAAGCAGAATACAGAGGAACCATGACTTCCCTCGATCTGGACACTAGACCCTTTTGGATGCAGCCCAAAATCCCACTGTTGGCTGATGTTTAACTTGTTCTCTACTAAGACTCCAAGATCTTTTCCACCAAGTTCTCCTGCAAATATTGGGTTTAGTAGTACCTATGGAGAAGTGACTGGACTGACCTTGAAGAAGCTGGGGGTGGTGACGGCCGACAGGGAGCTCTGGTGTGGGCTAGTCCATGAGGTCACGAAGAGTCGGAGATGACTGAACGAATGAACAACAACAACAAATGGAGATGTCAACCCCACATTTTCTCCATCAGATCCATCATTAGCAAGTAGAAGAACCAGTTTCATGTAGGAGAAAACAACTAGTAGAAACTGTCAGCTGCAAATCCGACATCGCTAGCTGGAAAAATAACAATTGTAAGGTGCCGAAAGTTCTTGGCTTCCTCTGTCGCTCAAGGATAAATTACAATCAGGCTTGAGAAACAAAGAATGGAGTCACATACCTGTGGGTCTTGGATGCTGGTGGCTTTCTCCGGCGTGATCAAGGAGAAATTGTAAGCAAACAGCAACAACAAAGCCAAGGGAACCATGTACAACTCAAAATGCCACACCGTGACCACAAAGGCCTAGAAGAAACAAAGCAAGGTAGAGAGCATTGTGGGAGATGGTTAGCTCGTTTGCCCTTCCTAGAGGAAAACAAAACACAAAGAAAACAATAACAAGGCAAGAGTGATGGTGGAGGGGAGATAAAGCTTTGGAGTCTTTCTTCCAGTAAATATGCACTCTTGAATCTCAGCTAACCTTTGATTCCCACCCTGCTTTTTGCTTTCATGAAAGACGACGAGTTTTAACTCTCTCTCTCTCTTATTTTCATCTGAATCATCCATAAGGTCAGTTAGGAGCTTCTCATCCCTTTAAATGCAAAGGCTCAGAGGCTGAAGAGGATGCAAGAAGTGTGCTGTACTGGGGAGAACCTTAACTTTTGCCTTGTGCTAGAGAGCTGAGTATTTTTTTCTTGTTTCTTTAAGGCTGGGTGCTTATTTGTTCTCAAAAACATCTGGCAAACTACAACTGCAGCAAATGCAAACAGGTTGTTTTGTTGGAAAAGAACCATCAAACGGAAGTTCAACTTGTTACAGTAAATTGTAACAGGATCAAGTATGTGTGTGTGTGTTAAAGAAAACCTTATACCATTGATTATTATGTGCAGCTGCTAATGTAGGTCAACTAGTAAGTTTGGACCACACTCAGTGGGGTATAACTGTATGGGTATTAGAATACAGTTTAGCTTTTGCTCTGAGGAGCCTTTGCTCAGGCATTTTGCTCAAACATTTCTACTGCTCTCTCATTTGGATGAAGCAGATGGCGGAAACAGAAGAACGGCCTGCCTCGGGGGAGCGTGCTTGCTCCATCCATGTTCAACATCTACACAAATGACCAGCCACTGCCAGAAGGGACAGAGAGTTTCATCTATGCTGATGATTGTGCCATTACCACTCAAGCAGGAAGCTTTGAGATGGTAGAACAGAAGCTCACCGAAGCTCTAGGTGGTCTTACTGCCTATTACAGGGAAAACCAACTGATCCCTAATCCATCTAAAACACAGACATGCACCTTTCACCTTAAGAACAGATAAGCATCCCGAGGTCTGAGGATTACCTGGGAAGGAATCCCACTGGAGCATTGCAACACACCCAAATACCTGGGAGTCACTTTGGAGCGTGCTCTGACCTACAAGAAGCACTGCCTGAACATCAAACAAAAAGTGGGCACTAGAAACAACATCATACGAAAGCTGACTGGCACAACCTGGGGATCACAACCAGACACAGTGAAGACATCTGCCCTTGCGCTATGCTACTCTGCTGCTGAGTATGCATGCCCAGTGTGGAACACATCTCACCACGCTAAAACAGTAGATGTGGCTCTTAATGAGACATGCCGCATTATCACAGGGTGTCTGCGCCCTACACCACTGGAGAAATTACACTGTCTAGCTGGTATTGCACCACCTGACATCCGCCGGGAAGTAGCAGCCAATAGTGAAAGGACCAAGGCAGAGACATCTCCAGCTCATCCCCTGTTTGGGTTTCAGCCAGCACTGAGGATTACCCAGGTAATCCTCAGAGCTCGGGATGCTTGTCTGTTCTTAAGGTGACTTAAATCAAGACATAGTTTTCTTAGATCTACAGAGACACTCGCTGGAACACCCCAGCAAGCGAGAGTCCAAAAGTGGCAGGCCCAAACCCAGCACCTCAATCCATGGGTGATACCAGATGAGAGACTCCCCCCTGGGCACTCAGAAGACTGGGCGACTTGGAAGGCACTGAACAGACTGCGCTCTGGCACCACCAGATGCAGAGCCAACCTCAAGAAATGGGGCTACAAAGTGGAATCCTCAGCATGCGAGTGCGGAGAAGAACAAACCACTGACCACCTGCTGCAATGCAACCTGAGCCCTGCCACATGCACAATGGAGGACCTTCTTGCAGCAACATCAGAGGCACTCCAAGTGGCCAGATACTGGTCAAAGGACATTTAACCAACTACCAAATTTGCAAAATCTGTGTGTTTGTTTTGCTCTGTTAGAATTGTAATACAATGGTATGGTTGCTGATGACACGATAAATAAATAAATAAATATTTGGATGAAGATGAAGAAGACATATTCTGTATTTCTTACAAGGACTATGTAAGTTTGTTGCACTTTTTTTTGCTTGCAACATTGCAAGTTTATGATTTAACTCTGCTGATAAGAGTAAAGATTTTTTTCCCTCTTGCTTGTGTGCAATGTTATTGTGTCTTCTGCATTGGACCTGACTGAAACACGCAATGCGCAACACAACTCTCTGCACTTAAGGACATCAGGATGCTTGAGTTTTACTTGGACACAGCCCAGCAGACCATCCTACATGTACAACGCACATCGAATGAACTGACAGAAAAAGGCTAGGAGAAGGTCACTTCAAATGTGGAATCAAGAGAAGGAAAGCAAGGTTTGGGATTTGGTGGCATAAAGGAAAGAACAGATGAAAATATACATCAGTGTTTCTCAGCCTGGGGGTCGTGACACCTGGAGGAGTCGTGAGAGGGTGTCAGAGGGGTCACCGAAGACCACCAGAAATCAGTATTTTCTGTTGTTCATGGAGGTTCTGTGTGGGAAGTTTGGCCCAATTCAATCATTGGTAGGGTTCAGAATGCCCTTTGATTGTAGGTGAACAATAAATCCCAGCAACTACAACTCCCAAATGTCAAGGTCTATTTTCCCCAAACTCCACCAGTGTTTACATTTGGGCATATTGAGAATTCATGCCAAGTTTGGTCCTGACCATCATTGTTTGAGTCCACAGTGCTCTCTTGATGTAAGTGAACTACAACTCCCAAAACCCAAAGTCAATGCCCACCAAACCCTTCCAGTATTTACTGTTGGTCATGGGAGTTCTGTGTGCCAAGTTTGATTCAATTCCATCGTTGGTGGAGTTCAGAATGCTCTTGGATTTTAGGTGAACTATAAATCCCAGCAACGACAACTCTCACAGGACAAAATAAATAGCCTCCCCCAATCCCACCAGTATTCAAATTTGGGTGTATTGGGTATTTGTGCCAAAATTGGTCCAGTGCATAAAATACATCCTGCATATCAGATATTTACATTACTATTCATAACACCAGCAAAATGACAATTATGAAGTAGCAATGAAACTAAGTTTATGGATGGGGGTCACCATAACATGAGGAAGCGTATTAAGGGTCATGGCATTAGGAAGGTTGAGAACCACTGATATACATAAATAGAAGATTAGCACTTTGGAGAGTTTCATGGGAGATGGGGAGGTGGACCTGGATGAGGATTGGATCAAGTGTATAGAGATATATCTTTACACTTTACAGAGAGACAATCTGTACCAGACTCAGCAAGGAAGGCCAGAGAGATTTGTAGAAGAAACAGATTTGAACTAGAAAAATCACTAGATTCAAAGAAAAAGGAGGACACAACATTAGGGAAGGGAGAGGAAGAAGGCAAAGGGTAAGAGAAAAAGAAAAGTATGAAAAAATGGAATGTGAACCTTTATGGAATATGGATAAATGGAAATAAATGTTGGAAATGTGGGGAAGAAGTAGGGACCTTTTTTCACTCTTGGTGGGCCTGCAGAGAAGTTAAGAAATACTGGAAAAAATACATGAACACTCCCAAAAAATATTAAAATTGAAGTTTAAACTAAAGCCAGAATGCTACCTTCTAAATATGACAGATTTTGAGATAGAAAAGAACAAGGATAAAATATATTATTATCTTACAACAGCAGCTGGGACGTTATTAGCCCAGAAATTGTGATTAAAAGAAATCCTGACAATTGATTCTTAGATTGCAAAAATTATGGATTATAAAAATGTGGACTCTCTAAACTTTCTCCTCCATGACCAGAAGAGTAGACACAAGACTGGTTGGTTGTCAATGAAAGAATATCTCCAGGAAAATAAAATGTCAAACTCCATACTGATAGAATAAATTCGACAAGACAATCGCAACTTACAGAAAGAGGAAAACCCAGTAGAAAAAATAAAACTGATGGAAGGCCATGAACACAGAGAGAAAAAAGAAGACCAAAAGGGGACGAAAAGGATAAGGACATATACAAACTCCCTGTGGAATGGACTGGGAGACAATAGACCCCACCCCGACCCTTTACCGCCAATCCTATGCTTTCTCCTCCCCACCCACCTTTTTTTCTTTCTTTTTTATTTTCTCTTCTTTTCTCACTTCCTATATCTGCCCGATACCCTCTTCCCTACCCCAACCACCCTCCATGGTTTTGGCCACAATTTTATGTATATTTATTGAAAACTTGCACAATAAAGATGATTTTTTAAAAAAGAATATGGATAAATGGGCTATGATGAATAAGGAGGAAAAACAGAAGAACTTTGTTAAGGAATGGAACTATCTTTGAACTTTATGAGAAGAAGGGAAAGCATTTTAGAATAGGCTCCATAATTTGGTCTATGTTAGAATCTTTGCTTGTAATTTTTAGATGATTCTTGGGGCAGAGGGAAGAATAGGTGAATGTTTTACTGGGAAGGAAGGGCAAGGTTGCCTATGAATGTCTCCAACCTGAAGGATGAGAGGTCACTGCAGTAGTGCAATAGAGAACAATTATTGTAGGCATTGGGTTGTTGTAGGTGTTTCCGGGCTATGTGGCCATGTTCTGGAGGCAATTTTTCTCCTGACGTTTCACCTGCATCTATGGCAAGCATCCTCAGAGGTAATGAGGTCTGTTGGAACTAGGGAAAAATGGGTTTATATATCTGTGGAATGACCAGGGTGAGACAAAGGACTTTTGTCTGCTGGGGCTAGCTGTGAATGTTTCAGCTGATCACTTGATTTGCATTCAATGGCTTGGAAGTGCCTGGGGGGAATCTTTTGTTGAGAGTGATTTTATGTGACTGTTTGTTTCCCCTCTGTTGTTTTGCTGTTGTAATTTTTGAGTTTTTTAAATACTGGTAGCCAGATTTTGTTCATTTTCATGGTTTCCTCCTTTCTGTTGAAATTGTCCACATGCTTGTGGATTTCAATGGCTTCTCTGTGTAGTCTGACATGGTGGTTGTGAGAGTGGTCCAGCACTTC